TATATATAAATTAGCTAAGGAATTTGTAAGTAAAAAGTAACATTTTGATAAGTAGAAGGGTGGCTCTTCCGTAGCTGAAGAGAATTTTTCTTTCTCTTTAGATTAATTCAGGTTTCAACGAAAATACCTATATGATATCTGGCGAATAAATTCATGCGTAAGATCTCTAATAACTTAGTACAGGCCCAGCGTCGAAGGACGCAGAAATCTTAGGGCGATATATATGTAGCATGTGCTTACGGAGCCAGTCAGTTGTTATGAGCGAAATTTCAGTCCGATCAATAATGGCCATACAACCGATGATGACGCAACTTTAATTTAAAGTTACACCTTTTGTAGCAGGGCAGTCCTTATTATTACACAGTTACAATTTGTATAGTCTAATTTATCATGTAGAATAGTGCAATCATATATGGAGGAGCTATTGGAAAACGTTTTACGTAATCACAGCAGATGGAACTAAAATGAACTGATATAACGGGATGACAAATGTATAGTGACGTACTTACTAAATTTATGCTCTGCTTTTGTATAACATTTACCTCAACATTTACTAAGTTAGGCAGCTAGGCTATAGGCCTTAAAAAATCATAATCGAATTGCGCAAAAAGTGCGTGAATTTCAAATTACGATACGTATATACATGTTATATCAGTGGATTAACTGCTAATCTTATTGTTGCTAAACTAAATACAGAAAAATAAATACAGCTGAAACGCTAGCTCCATGATTACGTGTGCCTACGATCAGTATAGCTTAAGGACATACACCAAAATACATACGTCTTATTAGATATGCTTTCTTAGCTTAATTAAATCCAAATCCACTAACTATAAAGTTTTTGTGCATCTCTATCTTCTACCCCAACTGTAATAGTGGACCTATTCTTTCGTATATTATATCGATGCGTCCGTATGGTGGAACTTCACTTTCTTGTTGGAGTAGAATCCAAGCCACAGAATAGACTTTATACGGGCTTATTGAAGTCGATACATTGGCTACTCAGCAATTGCTAAAACCGTGGAAATATATGTCATTCATTATATGGAACAAATACGAAATCGATACTACGTAGCTAACCGGCCATAGGAGGTGGATTACAAAAGGCACAATGGAGATATTTAGTAGTCCGATGTTTTTGACCGATGTGGATCTAGAACGTGTCGAGTTCTACCCAAGGTGAGTGCTATATTTTGTATTGACGGAGCAGTAAAGGGTGCTCGTATAACATATCCGGCACAAAATATGAGGACGCTGTTCTGTTTCATGTTTGTTCAGGTGGGCGAAGATCAATCCATTCAGCATGAAGTTGCTTGTCTACAAGCCTGAAAAGCTTAGATCTCTTAATAAGCGCTTGAATAGAACCTGTTTCCGTATCTCCCTATTGTCAATATGTTTCGTCGTTTTCTCCCATCGCCTTGCTTCGGCGCATTACCTTCAAGGAAACTCGGTAGCTAATGATAAAAAGGTGCATTTAAAGGTTCAATGCTATCCGTTCCATTATAAACACCATCGAATTTTATCCTTTTATTGGAGATTCTCGGCGGGAGATTAATAACAAACGGTTTGTCGCACTAAGATATATTCAGCTAGACCTAAAACGCTCGTACAATTTTATGAGTTTCTCTAAAAACGTGATGCCGAGTGATAGCCTTCAATTTTTGAAAAAGAATTGCGCGCTACGTACAGCTTACTTCGAAACAACAGCTCCTCTAAAATTACTTTATTTGAGAAACAACTAAGCGTATACACAATGCCTTACTTGGAAAGTATCGTCGTTTAATTGACTTGGAGTTTTACTATTATTATCATGACATGCTTTGCCAGAGACTTTTTAATGGCTGTCTGGCGAAGTAAGCAGTGCCTCTTCGCGCTAGGCAAGCCGGTCTTCAATTCGAATAGCGCGCATAGTGCGACAGAAGTTTAATTTACTTTTTCATACCGAGCATGCATTAGATTGTCGAAAAAACTATGACCGATTTAAACCTAAATTGAAGCAAAGAATTTTTATATTTCAAACCAACATAATTAATTATGCGCCATCTTTATCAATGATTTTTTGTTATTTTTTTGATAATACCGTCATTTTTTCAGTGTTTTTTCTTTTTTTTTTTTTTTCGCAAAAAACCGTAGCGAGTGATTCTTGCATACCTCCATCGAAACTAAATTAACATCATTAAAGGAGTCCTGCGAAAACCGGAATAGACAATTACCAATGGACCTTTTCTCAGTTTTTCCGCGTAGCTAAGCATCGATTTAGTCTTGCATTGTCATGATGAAAGACGGCCTCTTTCCTGCTCACAAGTTACGATCGATCTTTTTCAATAACTTGTTGTAATTTCGTTAGGATGTTAATAGTAAAGATCTGAATCAATCGTTTTTCTAGGCAATAGCAACTCATACCGCACGATTTCTTTCGAATCCTCGCAAACTCAGACGAATCCCTTTCGTGTCAATTGGGGCTTTGCCGCAGATCATAAAACCCATTGTTTTTTCATTTGCACATTATTGTCCTATGTGATCTACGTTTTAGAACCCGTGAATGGCTTTCTTCTGTTGCTATGCTATAGGGTTTCACTGATGGAAGTCCATCAATGTCCCGCTATATATATATATATATATTTATGACAATTTTTCCTTAAATTTGAGTGACAATAAGAGCTTTCGACCAATATCTGTCTTTGGTAAATGGTTCTTATCGCTGGCTTAACAATATTTGCTTCAGTTTACTACATACAGATAATTCGCCGTTGTTCCATTTTACCGAAAAGTTATTTCTTACTAAGCCTCTAAAAATGTGACCGGAAATTTATCTTACTTTCGCTTTATTTTGCTATTGAATTACTTCATCCTTGTATGATATCCATAACGCGAAAAGTTATTGTCTTCTCACCGCACTGTATGACTTATAGGAGACTGATAGTTACAGGTAGCTCGCTGCATTATTTAATCGAGCACATATTTAGACATTAGTGCGTAGCCAATAAGTTGATCTGAAGTTATGTTGTATTCTATTAATATCTTGTTTTACTGCTGCAAAGGTTAGATTCATTCTAGGATAAATTTGAAGACTAACACTGGTCACCTTCGGCATTGAATACTGCAACCTTCTAAATCACTACGACAACAGGTTAACAAAATGTAGACCTTCTGCGATAGGCTTGTTTTTGACTCCTAATAGGAACGTAGATAAGGGAAAACTTTTTCATTTCATTCAAAATAGGAAAGAGATATTACTTA